GAAGCACATCAAATTTTTCCCAATCTGACAGATCTTTAATCCCACAAAACTCATCAAGTTTAAACACAGAACATTTTAAGATTAAGTGAACTAATGTTAAAGCAAGTGCTCAGAGAATTAATAGAAGATGAACATTTTTAAAAGGTAGTAATTGTCTTAACTAAAGACTTATAATTGAAATGTCTGATGTGTTAGTCAGAAGGGAATTGGACTAATTCAAATGAGATGAATTTTTTAAAGGGATAAGTGGTAAATTCTAGTAATGGCTGAAGCAATAAAAAAAGCACTGAGAAACAAAATATATTGAGTATGTTTTTAATTGGTGATTTAAATTAAATAACATTTTGTTATTAATAGGAATGATATCTAATAGTATAGATCTACTTATTTATTGTTTAATTTGAAATCTATTCACATGATGTAGCATTAAATTTGCATACAATAGCAAAATTTCATGGTTTTGAGAGAAATTTTAAATAAAAACCTCGATCAGTGTTTGTTTTTTTGTTTTGTTTTGTTTTGTTTTGTTTTGTTTTGTTTTGTTTTGTTTTTTCCGTAGTGGACAGCTAGTGAAATATTGTAAAATATTTGTGGAATGACTTGATGAATAGCATGAGTTTTAAATATGGTAGCTTGGAGAAAAATACTCAATATATTTTGTTTCTCAATATATTCTTATTGCCTCAGACAATACTAGAAATGTATTATCCTTTTTTTCTGGAAAAATTTAAGAAAAAAGAAAATCATTATTTAAGCACATTGAGCAGTGCCTGTGAGAATTGTATCTATAAAATTAATCAGTCCACAGAGCACTCTTGGGAGGGTAGCACTAAAAATGCACAGATTACTTACTTCTCTATTCTCTTCAGAAATGCTGTATCTAAATGTGGTCCAATCTTGTGCCTCACACTCGCTATTCTCTCTGCCCCAAGTCCTGGTCCTCTGCTGGGTTGTATGGGTCACTCCCTCAGAGACACAGCCTTCCTTGTGAATATCTCTTTCTTAGAAACTCTTCTACAGCAAGCTAAAATTTGATCATGTAGTACCTTACTTAGTTTATTTTTCTCAACAAATCCTGTCAATTATTCATTCTACTTTGTACATTTATCTGTTTGCCTATTTTGTATGGATCTCCCTGATTGAAATTAAATGCTATAAATGAATGGCATGGTTACTCACTGCTGTATGGCCTAATATATAGGACTGTTCCTTGTACAACAATATCCTTTTGTATTCATTACAAGACTAAATGCATTCATAAAGCCCAAACTGGACGTTACCGATTTGAATGAGCACACCTGCCACCTTAAAGAAATGTAGGCTGCATTTCACTTAGATCACTGAGGACATGTCAGCAAGCTATGAGCCAGCCCTGAGTACATGCCAGAAGATTTCAGAGGATACATCAGTGAACCATCAGCCCACTGGCTCAAAAATCTGCCAAATCAACACTACTTAAAAATATGCCTTAGAGCCTTCAAGGGATATCTTCTTTGTTCTGCTTGCTCAGAAGATCCTCTGATGTTTAGCAATAAGCCTATTTAAACTATTAAATTTGTCCCTTTTGTCTTGTTCCTCTATTATTCATATTTCCCTGAAAATACGACCTAGCTGGAAATAATACCTGCCTCAGAGAATAGGCCCAGGAAAAGAGAATAGTGATGGTAGATAGGTAAGGCAAGGACTGGGGCTGGATTTTGGATCCCTAGATTTCAAGGTATCTATTTCCAGACTATATCTTATTTTGAAGGAAAGTAAATACATCAGGAAGGAACTAGAGAAGATAAGGTGAAGAGGTAAATTAATTTTTATGACAAAAAATTGGCTATTAAGCCTTGTTTACAGAATTTTCCCTATTTGGACAAAAATTGATACTTGGAATAATCAAAATTAAGATAAAGAATTTATGGAAGGGACAGCCAGATAGCTCAGCTGACTGAAGTGCCTGCTTAGTCCCAGGTTCGATCCCTGGTGTGTCATGACAGCCCTGCCCCCAGGGCTTGCTGAGACACAATTGAGATGGGCATAGTGGTGCACTCCTATAATCCCAGTGCTTAGGAAGCTGAAAACAGGAGGATCATTACCAGTCTGATCTGTGCAGTGAGATCCTGTAGACCCTTTACTAAATATATAAAAAAATAATAAAATAAAATAATTTATGGAAAAATACCCAGAAAGGGAATTGTTGGGTTAAATGTGGCTACTTTGGATAACTACTGCTGATTTCTACTGCTCTATTGAAAGGAACAGTTAATGCTTTTTTATTTTCTTCTTTGAATTTTTTTTGACCAATCTTGCATGCTTATATTTAGTGATCCAAACAACTGGTTTGAAGACAATAATATGCATTTTTAACAATCATTGTTGAATTCCTATCATCTTGCTTAATGAAATTCTGTATTATTTCCACTGCCTTATTTTATTTATTGTATTTTAGGGAAGGGCCTAGGGGAGTGTTTAGGGTATCATTACCAGATTGGACTCTTAGTGATCCACCTGTTTATAGCCTTCCCAGAACTGGGATTACAGGCACATGCCACCCCGCCCAGTCTCAATTGCCATCTCAGTGTGCCCCGGGGCGCAGCCAGCATGGCCTGCCACTGCAATTCCCAGCCCTTGCACCTGCTTACAGGTGCTTTAATCCACTGAGCTAATTGGCTGGCCCTCATATGATTTTTTTATTCTCTTTACAAATAAAGAATAAAATTGAGTCCTAGCCCAGGTCCGGTGAGTGTGCAGAGAGTTTCCTA